CCTCAGGCTGACCAATTCATTTCATCAAGTTCCTCAAGATATTCATACACTTCCTGTGAAAGAGCCAATTCCAAGTATTTGATCATTTCTGGTCACTTCCTTTCTATTTATGATTGGTTAGTTGCACAAACAACAAAGGTGATTGGCGCATTCAAACTATTCAACAGGAAGTTTACAATTATACTAGGAAGTGTATGAATATTTCGAGGAACTTGATCAAATGAATTGGTCAGCCCGAGGTAATGTATTGAATCAATATTTGAGGAACACTTCAATTGGAACGACAGTAAGCTCATGGACAATACCTTTTCTCCGCACATGCCTCAGCTGTTTGCCATAAAAATGTATATACACAGTCTTTAAAACTATAAAAAGAAACATTATATGCAGATGTTACTATTCGCAGGCTAATGTCTATGACGTAATTTATGACGCAAACTTCAATATCTTTGTTAAACAATTAGTTCTGAAGCCCGTTCTCCGCTAGGCGAATTTCTTCGCGTGACGCGAAGCGAAAAACAAATCTTGGCAATGTGATTGGTCAGCGAAAAAGTTGGATCAGTTCCTACTTTTTTAGTGTTTGCGCGAACAAATTCGCCTAGTTAAGAACGGGCTTAACAAACCATTGTAGAATATCTTTATCGCGTACCTGTCAAATTGTGGTGGATTAGTGCCGTGATTACATTTGAACTTATGCAAGACTTTCGCTTTTTTCCCATCACAGATTGCTTCACTGCTTGAGTACTGAAGATGTATCGGGTAATCTGTGTCAGTTTCTGTAAAAAGATAACATTGTGTTTGTAATGTGATCCAAACAGTGATTATTGTGTCATTTGAAGAAGTTCAGATTGAGTATAAAGATCAATATTCGCTGTTCTGAGTTCCTTACTTTTATATTGAAGTGTATAATCCCTGTCGACTGCTATCACTATCGTCGACTGTTCTTTTTTTTCTCTTGAAATTTTCACCGCTGTCGCTCGAGATGAACAGATCTCTATACATGGGAGTAGAAATTATTGTCATGTCGGCATGGTATGGTATTGTAGGGTATGGTATGATATGACGTGGAGTGATATATGGTACGGTAAGGTATGGAATGGTAAGGTATGGTATGGTATGGTATGACGTGGAGTGATATATGGTATGGTATGGTATGGTATGGTAGGGTAGGGTTTGGTATGGTATGGTATGGTATGGTAAGGTATGGTATGGCATGGTATGACGTGGAGTGATATATGGTATGGTATGGTATGGTAGGGTAGGGTTTGGTATGGTATGGTATGGAATGGTAAGGTATGGTATGGCATGGTATGACGTGGAGTGATATATGGTATGGTATGGTATGGTAGGGTTTGGTATGGTATGGTATGGTATGGTATGGTAAGGTATGGTATGGCATGGTATGACGTGGAATGATATATGGTATGGTATGGTATGGTATGGTATGGTATGGTATGCTTTACTATGGTGTGGTATCATATAAATAAACTTTATAACTGAAGACAAAATTGCATTCCAATTTTCATGTAGTTCAGACACATTTGGATATATCACATTACTTACTTGTTTCTTTGGTGTATTGGATATGACCACAAATACTAACCAAGTATAAACTAGAAGGAAGTATCATTATAATGAATGAGTCAATGGAAATGAAATGTGACCTTTGCAAGGTGCCTGAGTGGCATGGAGATGGCAACTGAGTGGCATCAATGGACCTTTCCCCTTATAACTAAAATTTCGATCTAGACAAAAATTTCATCACAGCTTGAAAAAACATCACAAAATTAGTAATATTCCAAAGTTTTGTTGCAAAATCTTGTAAAATGCGGATAATATAGCCTTGCGAAGTTTGCCATTTTTCAGTCATTTTGTATTACAAACGGGAAATTGACATCCGATTCGGGTGTTGGGGCTGCAATTTCCCGTTTGTAATGCAAAATGACTGAAAATTGGAAACTTTGCAAGGCTATATTTTCCTCATTTTACAACATTTTGCAACAAAACTTTGGAATATTACTAATTTTGTGATGCTCTTTCAAGCTGTGATGAAATATTTGTCTAGACTTGCCTAGATCAAAATTTTGGTTATAAGGGGAAAGGTCTATTTACGTCAATATATTTCGTGTCATGAGCACTTTAGATAAACAAAGGAAAATTCCGACCACTGAATCGTGGGAAGTGTTATGCTAAGTATTATTCAAAGGGTAAATTAAACATAGTTATACTGTAGTCTTATACTGCATAATTCGTTCTTACTCATTGTCCTTGCCTTTCACTTGAAAATTTTTCTCGCTCAGTCCAGCCAAGTTAAACGTCTTCCCATTATATTTCACTTCACACGGAAGTTTTCGAGGTGGACAGACTTCAGGTGTGACCATATTGAAGAAATATTTTGTAGTTTTGTCATCGACTTTGTACTATATATGAAATTAAACAGAAATAAAAAGTCAGAGAAAGAAAACTCAAGTTTAAACAAGGTTGTTGATCAAATACAAGATTGATGACACAATGGCCTGGGTTCGAAGAGGGACGTTTAGTTAGAACTGATAGAGCTATCCAGTATAAATAAAGTTAGTTTAGTTCAGGTTTCCTCCTGTAGTAACACGGAATCAATAAGAGATAATCCTTACTGGATCTCTAGGAAGAACAGTTTAGAACTGATAGAACTATCCAGTATAAATAAAGTTAGTTTAGTTCAGGTTTCCTCCTGTAGTAACACGGAATCAATAAGAGATGATCCTTACTGGATCTCTAGGAAGAACAGTTTAGAACTGATAGAGCTATCCAGCATAAATAAAGTTAGTTTAGTTCAGGTTTCCTTCTGTAGTAACACTGGATCAATAACAGATGATCCTTACTGGACCTCTAGGAAGAACAGTTTAGAACTGATAGAGCTATCCAGTATAAATAAAGTTAGTTTAGTTGAGGTTTTCTCCTGTAGTAACACTGGATCAATAATAGATGATCCTTACTGGACCTCTAGGAAGAACAGTTTAGAACTGATAAAGCTATCCAGCAGAAATAAAGTTAGTTTAGTTCAGGTTTCCTCCTGTAGTAACACGGAATCAATAAGGGATGTTCTTTACTGGACGTCTATGGAGAACAGTTTATTAGAGCTGATAAAGCTACTGTATCTAGTTGAAACAAAGTTATTTTATTTTCTCACCTTTCCAATATATTGAGGAGTATTTGAGTTGCCATCCTCCCCGCAATATAAGACGAGAACAATATCATCCTCATACGATATTCGCACCTCTTGTCCGGTATAATTAATCCCTTTGCGTTGCAGTGCCTTGGTATTTTTATCTCCAATTGTTAAACAAGCTTCGCCATTTGCCTCACCACAATCCTTACCATGATCACTGCATATGTGAAAGTGAACATCTCCACCGGGAAACTGAAGAAACAAGATGAACGTGCAGGCAAATTGTCATTGTATATAGCTCAGAACTGCTAGAGATATCCAGTACATGGACAAAGGTTAGATTAGTTTAAGTTTCCTCATGTAGTAACACAATGGCATTAACACTGGACCAATATATTAGAGATGACTCCTAAGCTTACTAGAAAATCTTTAACTGACTGATTACTGTCAATGCAATGGAAGTGTTGATAAAATATTGCATGAATTCATTTCCTCAAGTTAATCAATTGATACGAATTCAAATTTCTTTTTACTTCCTGTGCGTTTCTTATTGGTCAATCGATTCTGAAACGAAATCTAATTGGCTCATTTAAAAGTAACAGGAAGTTGATCAATTTTCTATCAAATGAATTGATCAACTTGAGGAAAGGAATTGGTGCAATATTTTATCAACACTTCCATTGCATCGACAGTTATAATATTATTCAGTATAAATGCAGTTAGTTTAGTTTAGGTTTCCTTATGTAGGAACATGCACTGGACCAGCAGCTATTCAGTATAAATGAAGTTAGTTTAGTTTAGATCTTCTATGTAGTAACACTGAACTAATTATATTAGGGATGGCTCCTTTTAAACTTCTAAAAATAATTAATTAGTCTTGAACTGATTGAATTGTTCAGTACATGTGTCGGTGTCGTTCTGTAGTAGTGGACATATACTGTAGTGTGGACATATATAGTTTGGACATATAAGCATTGTACTGGCATTTAGACCCAAATAGAATTCTAATATATAAAGTAAAATAGTGCTGACTTAATGGTACTACGCATGAATGTTGAACTTACAGTGGCAGACTTTCTTCTTCCCAGCTTTTTAAGATCAAAGCAGAAGAACTTTTGTTCAGGATCACTGAATACGCAATTATTATTTGCCACTTTTTTGGGGCAGACCAACGACGTCCACCATGATATCGTCAATGAACATTTATCAGCAAACACGATGATTTGCTTATTCTGTTAGTAAAAGAAACGAAGATTATGTCTTGAAACAGCTGGGGTGACTAAAGTAGGGAGTGTTTATCATCTTTAAATGCAGCTGAAAGCTGACTTGTGAAAGACACAACTCAAATGTGACCGAGTCGAGCCTGATTACATTAAGGTTACATACTCGAGGTTACATTAACCAGACTATATTAGGAAGTCCTGGTCAAATTACTCAATTATAACCAGATTTTTGGTTATATTAACCATACTATGTTAGGACGTCGAATAGATTTCGGTTTCAAAAAAAGAAAAGTGTGATATAAAAAGAAAAAGAAAGTGTGATATAAAAAGAAAAAGAAAGTGTGATATAAAAAGAAAGTGTGATATAAAAAGAAAGTGTGATATAAAAAGAAAAAGAAAGTGTGATATAAAAAGAAAAAGAAAGTGTGATATAAAAAGAAAGTGTGATATAAAAAGAAAGTGTGATATAAAAAGAAAGTGTGATATAAAAAGAAAGTGTGATATAAAAAGAAAAAGAAAGTGTGATATAAAAAGAAAGTGTGATATAAAAAGAAAGTGTGATATAAAAAGAAAGTGTGATATAAAAAGAAAAAGAAAGTGTGATATAAAAAGAAAGTGTGATATAAAAAGAAAGTGTGATATAAAAAGAAAGTGTGATATAAAAAGAAAAAGAAAGTGTGATATAAAAAGAAAAAGAAAGTGTGATATAAAAAGAAAAAGAAAGTGTGATATAAAAAGAAAAAGAAAGTGTGATATAAAAAGAAAAAGAAAGTGTGATATAAAAAGAAAGTGTGATATAAAAAGAAAAAGAAAGTGTGATATAAAAAGAAAGTGTGATATAAAAAGAAAGTGTGATATAAAAAGAAAGTGTGATATAAAAAGAAAGTGTGATATAAAAAGAAAGTGTGATATAAAAAGAAAGTGTGATATAAAAAGAAAGTGTGATATAAAAAGAAAGTGTGATATAAAAAGAAAGTGTGATATAAAAGAGTACCGCGAGATCTTCTGGATCACAGAGAAAATTAATGGTCGTGTTACCCGAACCTCCACATCTACCGTTTTTATAAACCAGCTGAGCTTTCACGTCGGTTTCTCCTGAACCTATCGTTGGTGGAGAGCTCACATGTCCAAAACTTTCTCCATCCTATAAAACATGCAATTCACACCATAAGCCTGGTATATCAAAGTTTTGAAATGATTTGTAACTTAAATCGAAGCCATCCAATGGTTATGCCGAAGACATTCAACGGCATAACCATCGAAATTACACCATAAGCCTGGTATATCAAAGTTTTGAAATGATTTGTAACTTAAATCGAAGCCATTCAAATGGTTATGCCGAAGACATTCAACGGCATAACCATCGAAATTGAATGGTTATGCCGAAGACATTCAACGGCATAACCATCACAGTTGAGAAGACATTCAACGGCATAACCATCACAGTTGAATGGTTATTCCAGATCCCTCAAACAAATATTTCAAAACTTTTACCTATGAAAAATTTCTTCTGTGATTACTGAAACTTTGATAGTGTAAACTAGTATAAACCTAATCTCAACTTAATCCTGCCTGAAATCCTCAATCAAATCCTCACTGAAATTCTAACACTACTCCTAGTCCAAACTTTAATCTCAACCTGCTACCAACATAGAACTGTGCAACATGTTATTATGACGTGATTTCATCGAACAAGAGCGCAAGTAAAATTGTAAAATTTCTTTTTTAAATGTATTGCTACTTGCTAACCTAGTAACCTTCTACATATAGGTCATATATAAACACCATACCTTACAAACTGTTGCATTTGCTGGACATCGTGAACCGCTGACCAATGAGCGACACACATTTATAAGGTATGTTTTTTCTCGATGAACAACCTAAATAACATTTATAATGGTCAAATATTGATTTTGGATGCACAAACCTTACACGTATTCTAAATGTTGTGCTTCTTCTTGTTATTAAATAGTTTTGGGCTCGAAATTTTCATACACAAAAAACAATTTATGAATACCTCGTAATTGGCATCGTTCTTAATCAAAGGCGTGAGATCGTAAAATTGCTGGCCGTCATGAGCAACACAATCAACCTGTACAAATAGTTAAATTTACTAAATATTGTTTATACAAATCCGAATTATTTACACTTGGTCTATAAACTGTTCAACCTAGAGCAAGGACATCCCTTGTTGGTTCAGTGGTAAAGCAGGAGAGAACGGTTCTAGATGGGTCAGGGGGCAGATCATTGATGAGGTATGGACTAATAACGGCTCCTTGAAGCGTCATTGGTAAGCTCAAAGTCTACCTCGGTCTGCTTCACGCCAGTTCCGGTTCTAATGTAACCAGTCACTGAAAAACCCTGATAGGGAGTGTGCTGCGCAATATCTGCATCTGTATCTGTATCTGTAATCGTTATAATTTCTCCTCAGTTGCACGTGAGAAAAATAAGAGTTTTGCACAGAAAATGTCTACGCTTTGAAGGATTTGTAAGAAAAGTTTGAGGGAACTGATTTGTTGATAAACACTTTGTCAGTTTCCTTAAACATTTCTTACAAATCCTTCAAAAATTTACCTATGCAAAATTCCTACTGTGATGATAGGGTAAACCAGCCAGTTTAGTAAAGGTTAATAAAATTAGATTTTGACATACCTCAGCTTCGCAAGCCAACTTTGTTTTCCAAGTGACAAAATGTGTGCAATCATTAGTTCGTTCCAACGCGGGCTTCCCGTTTCCTGCCTGAGGATCACACATAAACGATATTAAAGTCTCTGTTTTCCGGTTTTGCTGGCCTTCACAATTTTCACCATTCTTGTAATGCAGAAACAGAAATCCTTGACGATAAACAAGCGTTGTGTTGACACTTCCCACATTCACATTGGGTTTGCCTATCTTGCAGATCCCGGAATTCTTTGAACAGCCTATACAGAAAACATCAGATGAATTTGGGGTTAATGCTCCACAACTGGACTCTGCAGTTCAGTTGGTTAGAACGCTGCACGGGAATCGCAAGACCGCAGGTTCAATTCCTGCCAGAGTGGCTATTGTTGCATTTTTTGCAACTGCTCCTGGTTGGATCTAAAAATGTATATAAATTCTCGTTTGAATAGTCCACTGGAAAAAACCATCTACTACTTCCATCTACAAGATGCCCTAAATCTCGATAAGTACACACACAAAAATCTCACATCTTGTAGCAAGTCTGCCAACAGGCCGTCAACAAGTTGTGTTCGCACTGCTTGTCCCAAGTTGTCAACAAGTTTTGAACAATAAGTTTGGATATACACTCAGAGTAACATCACAAACATCAAGTTTGGAACAAGCTGTTAACAATTTGTAACAACCTTGTTAATATTATCAGACTTGTTGCAAGGTTGTTCCAACAAGTCCGATACAGTCTTGATATAACAATATTGTTACAACTTTGTGTCGTCAACCTTGTGACATTCTTGTTATATCATGACTGTATCAGACTTGTTAGAACAACCTTGTAACAAGTCTGATAATGCCATCAAGCTTGTTACAAGTTGTTAACAGCTTGTTTCAAACTTGTTACAACTGGGAACAAGCAGTGCGAACACTACAACAACTGGGAACAAGCAGTGCGAACACAGCTTGTTGACAGCTTGTCAACAGATTTGTAACAACTTTTTTGCAAACCTGTAACAACTTGTGCGTTTTTTACGTATGTAGCTTTTCTTACCTTTAGCACTCCCGCATACATTAATCTTGTATTGATTGCCATCTTGATCTTTAACCTCGTAATAACCATCTTTACTGTTGTTCAGTGGTCTTAGATCTATAGTTTTCTTCGTAGCTGGATGGATGGCAGTACAAGGAATATTAGACCAATCCAGGAGACTGCGTACTGGACAGGCAGCACGAGTTAGCCACGTCACGTGAAATTCACATGTTGTTTTGTCGAATCCATCGACAACTGGTGCTACCTGATGTATGTACAATCATAGAAAGTTTCAAACAAACAGCGGTGGTGTGAAAGAGATACAACTACCCGGGTTCGGTTGTTCAAAGGTGGGTTAGCGCTAACCCTGGGTTAAAATTTAACCTGCTGTTTTAGTTTATGTATTTCTACATGTCTGTTTATTTCAAAACTTCAGAGAAGAAAACTCCCATCGATCCAGAGAAGATTTCTGAAGAAATATTTCCAAATTTATAGACAAGCTGTCAGGAAGTTTGCTTTGAATTTCAAGTTAACCTAGGGTTAAACTAACGCAGCTTTGAACAACCGGCCCCTGAAAAATATAAGCAGAACTTCGACGAAGACTCTTCATCGGGACGTTAGTCACTAAGCTGAGCTAAAGCCCTGGGCAAACTAGGAAACATTGTTGCAGAAACATTGTTTCCTACCAATGTTTCGCCATGTTTCCCAGAGTGGGCAAACACTAAGAAACATTAGTGAGAAACATAGGGAAACATCAAATGTTTCTGAATTTGCTACGAAACATTTTTGCTTCTCGGGAAGCAAATTTTGTTTCCGCAACAATGTTTCCACGGGTGGGCAAACAGGGAAACATTTGAGGAAACATCGAGAATCACACATGTTTCCGCAACAATGTTTCCTAGTTTGCCCAGGGCTTTAGTTCCTCATCAGGAAAGTCAACAGGAATATCATTGAGACATTGACTTACCCCTACACCTTCGGGAACGACATCATCACAGACAAACTGTATGGTAGTGGTAGGATTTTTACAACGACCTTGTATTTCATCACCATGTCCATACGTCATTGTGAGATACCCATTGGAAAACTTTAGAGGTGCTATCATTGTGCCAAGACTTGTGAATGTACTAAAAAGAGGGTGAATTAAAACCTAGATGTTAGTACTGACACTTTAAAATGTTATGCGAGGAAACTCACACTGAGAAGCACTAGAAATACCCAGTGCTACTATGGCAACTGGTCGTTTCGGCCCCTTGCCGTTTCGTCCCCACACTATAGATACTGTTTATCTATAACCTATTTTCATAATACAATATATCTTACTTTTTGTCAGTTTGTGGTAATCTTCACCGTATAGGACAAAACCTAAGAATTTTTTAATATTTTGATACAAATTGCCTCTTGCACATTTTGAAAATTAGTGATGAGAATCAAGGAGTTTATTTCATGTGACATGATGACAAAATTATGAGTGATCAAAGTTGAAACAAATACAAATATATTTTATGTATATATACCGGGTGTCCCAAAAAAAAGTACTCCGGTTTGATTCCTAATAACTTCTAAACAAGCAAAGCTTTTAAAGAGAAATAACTTGCATCAAATAGAGGAAGGACTAACTTAGATTTTGATATATTACAGTTGTATTTCACTTAAAAATTCACGGAGATATTAATGTTTAAAATCGGGAGCATATTTCTGGATGTGTCTGAAATATGCAAAAAACGGCGTATCAAATATTAATCAAGATTTGCCCGAATGAAACATGCACTATTACCAATATTAGGGCTGCCAACCCTGGAATATGAATTTTTTTTTCGCCGACCTCCCCCCCCCCGTCGCCAAAAAAATTTCGGTCAGTGTACCATTTTAGGGGTCAAAAATTTTTTCCGAACACACAAAAAGTCGAATATTAACTATAAATTGCCTGAATAACTGTTGATTTCAAGTTTCACAATATATATTATGTACTAGTTTAATAAAATATCGACATCTTTAATGGCGTCAATACGGGTAAAAAATCCCTGTAAGATAAAGTGTTTACGGAAAATGGCGCCATTCAACCGCTGATTAAAAGCAACGCAGGCAGCAACAAAAGAATTTTATTTTTACCAGCAAAACGAATGTGCAGCGCAAATAATTTTTATTGTTAAAACCTTTGACAACGAAGAATCAAATGGCTAGTGCATAAATCGACGTTGGTGATTATCCTAATCCGGGAGAATTAAGACAAAATCTGGAGACTGGGAGATTAGGTCCAAAATCTTGAGACTCCCGGATAATCCGGGAGAGTTGGCAGCCCTGTAATAAATAAATGACACTTGACAAATTGTTTATTATGAAACAAAGTATTAATTTATTATCTACAAAATACAAACAAAATTTATTCGTCCGAAATACGCATGTGTTCCTAGCACGAATATATACGTTTCCTTATTTCATGAGACCACTGCATCGCGAAGGATCGTCATGGATCATTCGTAATTCAGAATTAGGGCATGCTGTCACAATGGAATTGTGAAGCTCTTCTAACTTCTGCAACGTTCTGAAATCTTGTTAAGAACACCCAAACTCTTTTGCCTTTTTAGTTGCTGGGGCACCTGTGCCAGCAACTATAGGTTTCGGGTGAATTTGGTCTCCTTCTCCGTCTCCTTCTCCATGGATAGTCGCAAAATGGAAATTGCCACTGATCTATATACGAAGCAATACGTGCATACATTTTCGCTATTTTAACGGTCTTATAGTCTTCGTAAGTGTATAAAGTGAACGTCAAATTGTTCTTTTAATCACGCTTTTTCTTCTGGGGGCTTTTTGAAAGAAATCCATCAAGAATATACAGAATTATGTCGACGTTTCACTATCGAGGAGTGGAGTAGATTCCGAGGTGGATTAACTGACAATATTAAACTGTGTTATTTATTCGTCGAACCGTTATTTCTGAACGTTTATATTTTTGTTTTGTGAAGTTTTACATCTATATACGCTTTAATATGGCTTATAGTCCTCGTTGCTCCCTGCATAAAACTCGTATTTGTTTACATGTATTGGAACTGTCATATTTGCATGCTAGCTCTATTTACAAGAAGGCTCAAATGTTGGCTGTTTTGAAGTGACACACGAGGTACGTGACACACGAGGTACGTGACACACAATCTTGGATTGGTATTTCTTAGATAGATAGATGTTTTTAATTGATAAACCTTGCAGCCATTGGCTGTATTATGTTAACATTAATACATAAGGTCCACTTATTATTCTGGTTATAGGACTGAACTATTAGCTTAAAAACTCACTTGTTCATGTTGTAAACTGCATCATGTATTCATGATTTTTACTTGCAACTCATTTGCTTATTTAATAGATTGCAAACAGGGGTCCCCTTGTTAAAAATTTCATGTCAATTGTGAAGATTAACCTCGCAATATTTTTGCAGATTGCAAAATTTATAATCTATCAGTAATCTGTACCTTAATTAGTATGATCTAATCATTTGATGATATTTATGTAGCTCTAACATGTAATAGCTTCAATATTTTGGAGTGTATTATTTGATGTTAAGCCCTTTAGTTAAAAATCACCGATTGAAGAATTGCTAGAACCAAAAGTGAATACTGGAACTATCCATATTTACCATGTTGCACCCTCAATGCCTGGTTACCCCACATCTTGTCATCCCCCCCCCCTCTTTGAGGGCCCTCTTTGTTAGCGATTCAGTTCTACACCACTGACTGCTAAATATAAAGTTATGTAAAACTTTAATGCCAATAGCTCAGGGAGTGCAGTGCTGTGGGAAGCTCTTTTTGATTGGGGAACTGAAAGCAATGGCCAAAGGCCCGAGGAAAGTTTTAAATTTAGAGTCTCTGAAATGCCATTTCCTTAACTTTGGGAAAGATTTGACAGAATTCCGATGGTCAGAAAACAGCATTTTAGTATGTCAAAATTTACAATTTCAAACAGCCCCCCCCTGGTTGCTACGGCCCTGGGGTGAAATATAACCACGGTCTATCGCATGCATCAGTTAGGTACAAAAAGCTAAATTCTGCACCAATAGTCCAATATATGCGATTGTCCATATCATATAACCCTCTAAGTGGCAATGTACCCTCATGTGACCTACTTTATTATTTTACTGTGTCTAATGCCAAGGATTTTACTCATCAGGGAGAGAGTGCTGTCACTCAATGGGTTAATTCACAAACGACTCCTTAGTCCTTAACTGTCTGATAAACAATTTTTGTGTTTTAAAATTTGTTATAAACAAGTTAAAATAAAAATACACAAATCTGTATTTATCCTCAAATATGAATAAGGGGTTGTTATAGCCCAAGGCCCAAATATGTACACTTGTGCCACAGTGCCAGCACAAAATGGGCTATTTTGGCTTTCAATTCTGCTGGAATGAGGTGATAAATTTTTAGCTTTGGAATTCCTCAGGGATAAGCAAATTTCTGTGTGGAATTTTTTGGGGGTAATCTGGTAATGGCTATTTTGAATGAGATTTTCTCAGAGGTCAAATGTAAAAATTGAAATTCTTCCAGGGTCTCTCTTCATGGGTATTAACAGGAATTCTTCAGTGGATCTCTTTTATGACCTGTAGGAATTCTTCAGTTCAGCGATATGATGAACTTTTGTGCAACGGACCTGATTGTGAGATTCCACTTCATTGAAAGGACGACCTTAGGACGGACCATTAGAAAAGTGATGGGGGGGGGGCAAAACCAAAAAAAAAAATTATTCCCAGGAAAAAATTAGGGAAAAAAATCTTCCCAGGCATAGTGCAAAAAAAATTCCTTTCCTGGAAGATAGGCCTATAAATTTTAATAAAAAAAATATATTTCCAGCCATCAAGTGAGAAAAAAAAATTTCTATAGGTGTACAAAAAAAAAATCTTGCCTCTTAAAACATCCCCCCCCCCATCACTTTTCTAATGGTCCGTCCCTTAGTTAATTAAATTTGCTGTATACATTATGTCGCAACGTGTCACTATTTATATAATAAACTTATGTACAATTACAAATCAAGCCCACAAATCGTTGAATATACTCTTACCGCTCGTTGCAAATCACGCAGGCGCCTATTTAAAAAGCCCCAGCAACTTAACGCTCGAGAGAGCGTCTTGTCTTAATCTTGTTAAGTTCAGAATAAACTGAGAATGAAACACAATCAAACCATACAACTCCATAAGACATAACAAGCAAATCCCCAGAGACATCCAACATTTTTGGAACAAAACGTATAACAAAATAGTAGCGTTGATACTGTGATGCATGTGTATTTGCAAAAATCAATATTATTTCCTTCATTAAAGAATAATATTCATCCTGCTCTAACCGAGAAATAATCAACTCTGTTTTGAACCAATGAAAAACATAAAAAATTAGGCTATTTAAGAAAAATTTAAGCGTCTGCCTTGCATGGTCTTTCATGTACCTTTAAGTTTGTAAAGACCTATTAAATACTTGCATAATTTCGAGCGTTCATATTTCAGGAAACAATGAGCTAAGACTTACATGTAAGATGCCTTAATCTACGCCACATCCCTTACAAACCCTAACGACAATTCGCTGAAATACAAATTAGCCTGATATGTCATTAAGCAAACAAACGCTGGAGTTAATATTTGATATGCCGATTTTCGCTAATTTTAGACACATCCCAAAATATGCTCCCGATTTTGAATATTAATATCTCCGTGAATTTTTAAGTAAAATACAACTGTAATATATCAAAATCTAAGTTAACCCTTCCTCTATTTAATGCAAGTTATTTCTGGTTGATAGTTTTACTTGTTTAGAAGTTATTATAAATCAAACCGGAGTACTTTTTTTTGGGACACAGGGTAGTTCATGAGAAAGTAAGATAAAGTAGTTTATACAGTAGATAAAACGGTATCTAGTGTGGGCACGAAACGTGAACGGAACGAAACGGCAAGGGGACGAAACGACCATAAAACGCTACTACAGGAGGAGAGCTTACATTAACTAACGCTATTTATACTGATCATGATCTGTTTCTGCAAGACCCTTTATTTCTCCAGCGTTACTACGACGGAAACCTATATACACTACACTACTGTAACTTTATTTACACTGGATAGCTCTATCAGTTCTAAACTGTTCCCCCAGGTAATGTCACAGCGAGGTATGTGACACAGGCTACATCCAGTGTTGTTACCGGAATAAATTTGAAGCAGGTTGTTCAAAGATCGTTTAGAACTAACCCTGGGATAAAATTTGACCCGTTGTTTTGGTCCAGACAAGATTTATGGGGAAAATATTTTCAAGTTTATAAACAATCTGTTGGAAAGTTCGCTTTAACGTTTTTCGCTAACCAAGACACATCAACCATCAATATTTCAATATTTTTTACTAACCCTTCTATTTTGTTCTCCATTGCCCCTCTAGAGCCGTCACTGGCAAAACGAGAAATATTCTTCAGCGGCTTACACACAGAAAAGTGAAACTGATAACCCTTAAAACCAAACTCCTTAATGTTATTTCGGGCTAACCAGTTCCATTCCTCCTTGGCCAACACAGACAAATCATACAGGTCACTCTCGTGGGTTATGCTGCATTCTTCGCCTGTCACAGGTGGGCAGACCAGTTTACTTGTCCAGAGGATATTGTAACCAGCACTTATTTCAGTTTTGCCAACACCAGAAATTGTCTCGACTTTAGGATCACAAGATATTTCATTTCGGACGGTGAATTTTGTACTGTTGTAAGTAAAAACTACTTTACCATCGTCGTATTTCATACTGTCGAAGTTGAGAAGGTCAGTCGCTGATTTTCCTAGATACAAGATATAGAGAACACTTAAAAGCACAGTGTTTTGTAAAATAGATTTTACTGACAAGTCAAATCTGGGTTGTAAGTGTGGAGAAGTGTATAACTTAATATTTTTAAATTCAATTCTAGTCATCTAAATAGTCCAATTACCTATTTTATGATTGTACATATGGTAGATAGTCAAGCGTTTTTAACATGAGCCTTTGGCTCGGGAAATTGAGAAATCATTCCCCATCTTTTCACTTTAAATTGGATTGCATTGTAAATTGCATTGCATTACATTACATTACATTGTATTGTATTGTAAATTACATTACATTGTATTGTATTGCATTGCACTGGATTCATAAGAAACAGTTTCAATACTGGATAGTTCTGTCAGTGCTAATCCAAATGTCTAGTTATGAGACGGTCCCTTATAGACGCAGTGTTACTACATAAACCTAAAGTTTCTCATAGGCTTCACTTTTCACATTCTTGCTCCAGTTGAGTCAGACTTACCTTTTAACAGACACGAGTCAACCTCTTTACCACAAATAGTTGGCTTTTTACCACAAAACCTCACTTTGTACTCAATGTTCCCCTCGATATCATAGCTGTAAATATCGGTCAATGAACTTAGGTCATAGTAGAAACCATAGTTTTCATCATATACTACACACTTTTCCCCGGAATACTTTTCTACAGCACAGGCACTGGGAGTCTTCCAGTTAAACACATATTCGCAATCTTCCGTTTCTGCCATGAAGACAGGAGAACCCTAAGAAATATTTGACATTATGTTACTTAAACGGTGGTTTTTTAGGCAGCGGCTCGACCCTGCTCGTAACAAGGCTAATACTTACATGAACGTGTGAGCAGAAAAAGTTAATCCTTGTGCTACGATCATATCTGTGGTGACATGTCTCTCCTCCGAGATAACGTAACGTGAGATGACCCGCAGACGAGATAACAGGACCGCTCATCACGTATCCCATATTGTGAGCTTTCTTTTGTACGCTGTCCACTTGACATCCACCAATCCCAGCAGAACCTTGGCACTGATATTTTGCATTTCCCGGAAAATATCCGCTGCAAACATTAATGTAGTAGTCCAAATGTAAACGAGTGTCCTCGGCCATCCAATTACCTAAATATTGGAAAAAAAGTCAGTCAACGCTCTACCATCAGTCGTGGGTTTTCTCCGGGTAGTCCCGTTTCCTTCCACAGGGAATGTTGACAGGGTGGGTTGGAATAAGCCCCCTAACTGACCCTTCCATCGTAGCTGTTCTCCGTGATCAGACATGAGTCATAAGGTGGCTGCCAGAGGCGCCCTTAGAAAAGCCTTTGACTCGATCAGGTTGAGCTGCGTCCTTCGTAATTCAGCTCTCTGCTGCAAGTAAGGATGATTAGCATCCCCCACTTAAGTAGCCTGCGAACAGGCTTTTTGAATTGAATTAGAGCCTGCCGGTTTAGTCAATAAAAATGCGTCTGTGCCCATCACTATTTATAGTGTTGTCAATCAAATGTAAAATACAATGTGACAAATTAATACAGACACGCCTTATGTAATAGCCTGCGAATATAAACAAAACGCATATCTTGATTTCAACGCACTTACAACAACATTAAAAGCACTTATCTTTCTTTCAAACAACCCTGAAATTTCCTGAAGTAGCAATAGTAATTGTGAATTCACATAAACACCGCAACGACTTGAGTTTGAACAACTACGGCGTACTAGAATGCTCAAGAATGCAAATTATAGTCGCCTTTGTCTTAGAGTAAAGATGCTATTGTTGATATAAGAACGTTGCCGTTGTATTTGCCAAACTCTCTTATATAGTACAGCTAAAACATCGTTTCCGTCTAGAATATTATTAAGAGCTTTTGACTGTACAACTCGTCGCTACAGAACGATATTTTCGATTTGAATCCATTGTTGTGTAAATTGAATTACCTTTTATGGCAGTATAATATCGTTAATTCAATTTCAACCAATGGGAACCCTGCGTCGTTCTAAGCAACGCACAGACGCGTTTTTATTAGCTAGGCCTGCAGGCTCTCTCTCAAATTTCAAAGAGAGTTCAAAGAGAGCCTGTTCGCAGGCTACCACTTAAGTTTAAGCTATGTTTACACATGCACAACGATTTTATAATCGGTCCGATTTCAGGTTTTGCCGAATGCTAATGACGAATGCTATTAGTTATGGCGTCAGATTTCCGCCAATATTCATGTTGATATTAATTCAACATGTTTCCGTATTGAAGTGAATTTCGACATTGAACATATCAAATTCAGCATGCCACTTTAATTCAACATTGCTTCAATTTCAACATGTTTCCCTCATTGATGTTAATTTGAATATTGAACGTGTCAAATTTAAGTGAAATACAACATTGAAGTATAGATATTGAAGTAATTTTCAATGTTGAAGTTTCAAAACATGTTGAAAACGCATCACTACATGAATTTGAGAAGTGAATATTGGCGGTTATATAGCACGCGTTAAATATCCGCCAATATTAATTAGCACTTCGTTAAACTTCCCCCCTGGCATATTCCTATATGGCGGCTACGAACGAACGGAATCAGTGATGAAAATCATGGTGCACTGAACATTATTGAGGATATAATATCACGATTAGACAGCTAGCCTTGGTGACCCAGATTGTGTAGAGGGATTGGCAATACGATTTGACGTTTTAAAGAGATATCTTGTAAATATTAGAATCGACGACATCTGCATGCACTTTGGAATTGCTGTATAGGGTTTGCAAAAATTTAAACCAATTTGAGCAGCGGCAGCGCTATTCCGCCATGACTAACTCTGCATTTCCAGCACAAGTTTATGCGGTGGAAAACCTTCGTAGGTCCTTCGTATGATATACACGAGGGGCAATTGAATTTTTTATAGCGAAGTAAGCAGTATGATGGGTGTACGCAAAGACCAAAGTAACTTTGGAGCGGCGAATGAGGTCATTTGGCACAAGTGTGTCAGGTAAGAAAGTTATGCACATCCTACACGGCCGACACAGTGATTATATATGCAACACGTACTGTATATATAGCGTCTTATCATCAGGATTTAATATGATTGACTGCACATTAAGTTTTATACAGAACCACAGCATAGAATGAGAACGAGAATACCTAGGTATTTACATCTTTCATCTGCACTTCATTTTTTACCGTTTGAAGAAAAAGGTTAGCTTAGTAATGCAATATGCTGAGCAGACATAAAAAGCCCATGTCAATGGCAGCAGGGCGGTTGGTGGCAGTCAGTCCACTCCAGGAACTTGCAGGCATTTTGGATTAATTCATGAAAACTTGAATTTTATTGAAAACTGAACTTTCCAGTCCTGTTTTCGTTTAAGGTCGGCAAACCGCAAATGACCTGATCAGTCTTCGCCAATTCAGAGGTCAGTCTCTAGATTTTTTCACTAACACCAATCCCCACACAAGGAAGTTGTGGTTTCATCTACATGTATGCATTACACTTACATCAGTTTCCCTAGGTTTGTCGACTTGGGTTTAACATATACAGCGCTGCATAACTGCCACTGTGTTGGCCGTGTATAGGATGTGTATAAGCTATAACTTTCTTACCTGACACACTCGTGCCAAATGACCTCATTCGCCGCTCCAAAGTTACTTTGTGTACACCCATCATACTGCTTACTTCGCTATAAAAAATTCAATTGCCCCTCGTGTATATCATACGAAGGACCTACGAAGGTTTTCCACGGCATAAACCTGTGCAGGAAATGCAGAGTTATTCATGGCGGAATAGCACTGTCGCTGCTCAAATTGATTTAAATTTTAGCAAACCCTATACAGCAATTCCAAAGTGCATGGCCTGCATGCAGATGTCGTCGATTCTAATATTTACAAGATATCTCTTTAAAACGTCAAATCGTATTGCCAATCCCTCTACACAATCTGGGTCACCAAGGCTAGCTGTCTAATCGTGATATTATAT